GCAGCCTTGTAACTAAAACACTATTTCACAGACAGGGGACTTCAATTAATAAGTTTCAAATGTCGAAACACCTACTTCCTGGACATTACCTAACCGAAGGTAATAAAAATTCCTCCAGGTCTGTACCGCTTGTTTTATGAATGTGCTAACGACCTTATTAAGTAACACGGACGCGCACAAGAAGGTAGAATAGACTCTTAAACGCATAGCGAAATTCCCGACGGGCAATTATTCGCGATCCACTTGACCTTTGTTGGAAGAGGCCTCCGACCGGTTCTCTTTGTGACGGTGCCGCGCAGTCTGCACCGTGCAGTCTTGTCTTGTGAACCATTTACCCGTACAATCGGGTATTTAATAACATCGAGGCTGCCTACCTGTTCGGTCGCTATTTATCCAACGTATTATGGGATTTTTGCTTCTTTTTTTTCTCTAGTCTAACGCCACGGGCGTGCGATGCCTTATAGGATTATATTGTTAGGCACATTAATGGGGTATTTGCATTTTACAGGGCCGGTTGGTGTCATTTTGGTGCGAGTACGTTTATTTTTCTCTTTACCCGCGTCAATTAAGGATATAACTAACGGATGTACTGTCAACTCGAATTATAAGGAACGGAAATACAGTGTGGACCATTTTGATGATGCATGTATTGGTGTTTTGGAAACTACACTAATGCAAAAAATTAAAGGGTCAAAAGAATTTCCGAAATTTTTTCGTAATTTTTGACAGACTGTATTTAGGTGAAAAATGGTCGTATCGGGAATTAAAAAAAAGCATTTTGAAGCTCTAAGATGGTAGTTTTTAGATCTTTTGGTCGAAATTTTTTAAGAGCTACGGTTATCGTGCAATTCTAAGAAATAGCGCGAGAAAAAGATTTAGCACATTTTCTTTTTTGCGGACTTGCAAGAATTTTTTTCAACTAAGCCACTGATTGCATGGACCAGATAGCTTGTTTATTTAGCTTCAATTTTCTTTTGTTTTTAATTTCGATACGACCCATTTTCATCGAAATATCGGACTTTTAATGGAAAAGGATCCTTTTGTGTTCAATCATCGATATCTCGGCGACAAATGGTCGTGCAGAGAATTGAAGGGTGTTGAAAGATACTCAAGTTACGTAAACAAAAACATTCCATCTTCAGATACTAATGCCTACTTTTAATGTGTCTATATTTCTCAAGCCCAACGGCTCTTGCTCATAAATTAAAATGCTTATAAACGTACGGAGGTATATTGTAGCACTAAGCTTAAGAGAAAATTTTTGTTTTTAATCTGATTTGATACAGAATAGATGTGCTATCTTAATAAGTGAATAAACAATATCTTTTAATTATTAAAGTGTTTTAGTTCTACCCATAATCCCAACAAAAGGCTGTTTCGAAAATTGGAATAAATTTCCTATAACATGCTGCAGCAACATTTCGAAATTTTTTTGTTTTTTTTTTTTCATCACGAGTTTAAAAATACAGGAAAAACAGGTAATTTATGTATGGCGAGGTGTTTCTTTATTTCAAACAGTCAAACTTTCGAAAAAAATTAAAGGTTCACGTTTTTTGAGCTTAAACACTTCATAATCATGATTAAAATGGAAAAAAACTTTTTTTTTGTTTTTTTCACTGCAAATAACGTTTAAATTAAGAAAAATAAAAAAAATCGAAAAATTTTCAAAAAATATTTTTTTTTTAGTTTTTTTGGAAACCCTTCCGCACATTGAAGAAAACAAAATTCAATTGTTTCCAGGACGATTCGGCTTTTTCGTCCTATGCTTCTGTTCATCAACTTTTAATTAAATTAAAGTTGATGACCCAAACCAGATTTCGACCCCAATTCATACCGTTTTTTGAGACAAATTTCTAATTAATTTGTAACCACTTAAAAAACAGTTTTTTTCAAAACTACCCTTTTCCTTCTCTGAAAAAAAATATATATTTTTTTAATCAATTTAAACGTTAATTGCGGTAAAAATGTGAAAAAACCTCAAAAAAATTAATTTATTTTATTTCATTTTAATTATGATTATGAAGTGTTTAAGCTAAAAAAACGTGACCCGCTATTTTTTTTCAAAAGATTGACTGTTTGAAACAGAAACGGTTCGCTAGATCGAGATGAAACTTCACAGGGTTCTTCTGGGTATATCGAATTGTAAAAGTCATGCTTAACATTAGTAATTTCGTGAATATTTCTAATTTAGCCGTAAATTTTCTAAAAAACAATAAATTACCCTTATTTTCCTGTTTTTTAAAATCCCTGTAAAAGATGAAAAAAACAAATTTTCCGAAAAGTTGCGTCAGCATGTTATAGGAAATTTTTTCCAGTTTTCGAAACCAACCTTCAATTCTCTGTACGACCATTTGTCGTCGAGATATCGATGATTAAAGACAAAAGGATCATTTTCCATTAAAAGTCCGATATGTCGATGAAAAATGGTCGTATCGAAATTAAAAAAAAAAAGAAATCGAAGCTGAATAAACAAGCTATCTGGTCTATGCTGCTATCTGGGCTTAGCTGAAAAAATTTTTTGCAAGTGGATTCAGAAAAAAAAAGAAAATTTGCAATTTTTTTTGTCGCGCTATTGCTATTAGAATTGCACGATAACCGTAACTTCTAAAAAATTTCGACCAAAAGATCTAAAAACTAGAATCTTAGAGCTTCAAAATGCTTTTTTTAATTCCCGATACGACCATTTTTCACCCAAATGCAGTCTGTCAAAAATCAAGGAAAAAATTTCGGAAATTCTTTTGACCCTTTAATTTTTTCCATTAGTTTACAAGATAAAGGAAAATGGTTAAATGGGGAAAGATTTAGTTCTGTTGCTAACTTAATGGGGCTTGCAGACCGATCCTAGCTCTTCAGGTTTTTAAGTTATTTTGAAAAAAATGTGGCGATTTCAAAAATCGTCTGTAACTTTTTTTTTTATAGGAATTTTTGAAATCTCAAAACACTTTTTCACAGCAAGATTTTTAGAGGAATTTCGCTGTATATTTAGATTTTCATTGCGACGTTTCGGTTGCGTGAGACCAACATCAATTTTTTTTTCTTATGGGTGCCATATTAAAATTTAAGCTGAGCAAATCGAGTATTTATTTGGCTTTTCAATGATATAATACAAGTAAGAAAAAATTTCAAAAACAATCTCAAAAATCAATACTTTAATATTTTTAATAAATAGGGGTTTCCATTTAAAAATTTCGAGTTTTCCACATTTTCTGAACTTCAAATTCGATCTTTTTTTTTCCACCTTGCATAAATTGGAAAATTTTCATGTCAAATCCGATAAATAAACCTGTTTCCGGAAAAACTAAATTTTGCTGAACCTGCATCTGTCAATTTTTGCCTAAACATCAAAATATCTCGGAAACGGTCAATCCTCAGTGTGCTATATGTTTTCAACTTATAAATACTCTTTCCAAAAATCCGATAATATACAGGGGGTTCCATTTAAAATAAGAAAGTTAGTATCGACTTCCGGTATAACCGGAGTACGATGACCTTGAAAATATTTTTTCAAAAAAATCCATCGAGCGGTTTCCCAGATATCCATCGATGGAGTTCGTGGTGAGACACCCTTTATACTTAATGAATAAGGTTTTAGTTGCGAAAATTTTAAAATATCTAGATTTTAGTTTTTCCTTTTTGGTTGGCTTAATATTTGGTGTTGCCGGTGCATGTCGTCGCGATGAACTGTATCAATGGAATTGGAATGATATAGATGATTTAGGAACACAGTTTTTAAAATATCGGATAATAAAGCGAAAATATGAAGAAGTCGTTTTTGCATTTGTGTCAAATAGACTTTACGTAGCCGTATGTCCAGTATGTGCGTAAATTTAATATGGTTGGCCTGTTAAATTTTTTACCTTGGCAGTTATGAAAATTATAAAAAAACAAAATTCTATAAGCTACATCGACCTCGAAAAATATCAATAATTTACAAATTGTAAGTTTTTTTATGCAAAAAGTAAAAGGTTAACGAGACATTGACGTCGACGCGAAGTTCAGGGGCAATAGTTTTCACAAACACATAAAATAAAACTAGTTTAAGCAAGTATTTAAATTGGCGGGGCTTTTCGATTTTTTGATAAAGCTCGGCATAGGATCGGTGTTAAAAACGACACACTAAAATTAATATTTTAGATTTAATTATCTAAATTATATAACTGCATCGTTAAAATTTCGTTTATAATGGCCATATTGCTATAATTAAATTTTATAAAAAAATAACAACGTAGGTAGAAGATTTATAATAAACCTGGCGCTAACTCTTCTGTAGTATTTTACCGAACACCTGCAATCAAGTTTTATGCATATGCTAATTTTGTTTCGAAATTATATATAAACAACTAATTGCCGAAATATTTTCGTAACACAGAATTATTACAACACAGGTTTTAAGTTTTTGATTTCCATTTTTCAAACGAATTATTAATGATATTAAAATTGATGTCTGGCATATTTATAGATACAGTTCTGGCAAATGTGTTTTTTTTTTAAATATTAGTTTAAAGGCGATGAACTGAAACATAAAATTTAAATGAAATAAAATATCCAAGACGTCAAAATTTTGTTTTAATAAATCTTTTAGGAGATCAACTTAAATAAATTCAAACCTAAAGTTAAGTCTGAATCGCCACTTTCTTTAATCAGAACTTACTACAAGCTGTGCCAAAAATATTATCTTGGAGAAATTTCTAATGACAGCAGATCTCACTTGACAAAAAATATTCGCTCTCATTCAAAGCGAAAACTTTTCCATGTACGACTTGTTTGTTTTTGTATATTTCTAAAATTATTGTTTTAGTTTTAATAAAGTTTATTCAATATTTGTGTATGCAAGAAACGTTATAAGAACTGCGGTTAAGTGTCTTACTGGTTCCGGACATTTAGGAGATCTTGAGAAGCGCAAATCGAGAAGAGAGTCCGCAGTAGCAGCGACAAAGATATGAGACTTGGTCAAGTTGCGTCTTGCATAAAATACCAAATTTAATCAGAAAGAAACTTACCATTGCTGTCCCAAGATTCTTCGGGTTCATTTACGACATCGTTTGTGTCTTTAGGCGGATGAGGCAGTCTCTTTATCCTGTGTATAAGGCTTCCTAAGGTGCCGTTGGCGAATTTCTCAGCAGGTTCTATGTAGTAGTTGCTCTCGGAAGTCCTGATATATCCAGTCTGCAACAAAAATTAAGTCCGATTACACCGAAACATCGAGTAAATCTATATAAACTTTGGATATAGGCCAAGCAAATTAAATTTTTACTCGAAAAAAGTCCTATCCGCGAGATTATTGTAAAATTGTCTAACGGAAATACAAGACACCTCTCATCTCGTGAGTCAAAAAATTTTATTAGCTAACTTTTCTATTTAAACAAATAAGTGTGGAAAACAGTGTTTTCACTTTGCAGGAAAAAACATCAATTTTAGCGAAAAGTGATTCACAGACAAACAGGGAACAAAATTATCTACAAAATGAGACTTGTTAAATTGTCGGTGAATAAAGAAAAAAGTTATTGCAAAAAAACAAGAAAAGTGCTCATTTTTTAATTTGTTTATAACTATCGCATTTATTGTTAAAATTTTATAAAACATATGTACCAATAGTTTTCGCACAATTCAATTTGTTTATAACGCAGGCTCCAGAAGTTATGAACTTTAAGCCTCTGTACAGGAGTTAATTTTCAACCAAACATGATTCTGAAAGCGTCATTGTAATCTTAAAGATGTAATTAAGCGACCTATTAAAAAATATCACCGGTTTTTTGACATTAACATTCTCAAATTGTGCATTAAAATCCGTGCGTTTTTCGCTTATAAACAATTTGAATAAAATTGTTGCTATTTTATGCTACCTCACCGAAAATAGATTCAATGGATAGCTGGCAAAAAAATACAAAATTGATGGTTTTCCTTGCAAAGTGAAAAAACTGTTTTCCTCACTTATTTGTTTAAATAGAAAAGTCAGCTAATAAAATTTTTTGACTCATGAGATGAGAGATGTCTTGTATTATGTTCATTTAGACAATTTCACAATAATTTCGCGGATAGGACTTTTTTCGAGTTTCTCTTTTATTTTCGCTAACTTTCCTGGTGTAATAGTGGAAACTGGCCAAATAGACCAGGGCGTATCTGTTTTGAAGTGGATGTGAGAGGGGACAGGCAATTTTTTTCTGGATTACCTTCAGTACAACTCGCATGACAAAAGTGTAGATCCCTAGATCTGGGCGAGGTCCGCAACATTTTCAAAATTGCAAAAATGTTTAAAAGATTTTAAAAAATACCTATTTTATCCGAGTTTTTTACTTATATCATGGAACCTATGCAATTTGGAAGAATATTGAAGTCGAAAATAAGTTTAGAATTGAATTTTGCACAATATACTGTAAGTTAAAAATGTTTAAATTTATTACCGATGTTGGAAAATAGCAATTATTGATGAAAAAAGGCAAAATAATCAAGTTTTTTGGATATTTTTTTAAAAATATATGCTTTATTTGAGGCTGTTGAACATTTTGAAAATTCTAAAAAATTTTTCAAAATTTTTTCCGAAAAATTATTTTGCGAAAACTCGAACCGATTTTAATGAAATTTGGTGTGTTGTTTTATTATACTCTAAAGTTATTTTTACCAAAATTAGAATGCCCTCGGAGCAATTAAAATATTTAAAAAAAATTATTATTTTGCCTTTTTTTCATTAATTATTGCTATTTTGCAACATCAGTAATAAATTTAAACATTTTTAACTTACAGTATATTGTGCAAAATTCAATTCTAAAACTTTTTTCTTCTTCAATATTCTTCCAAAATGCATAGGTTCCAAGATACAAGTAAAAAACTCCGATAAAATAAGTATTTTTTAAACATTTTTGCAATTTTGAAAATGTTCGGGACCTCGCCCAGATCTAGGGATCTACACTTTTGTTATGCGAGTTGTACTGAAGGTATTCCAGCAAAAATTAGCTTGCCCCCCCTCACATTCAAGAAGTGGGATATTTCGACAGATCCGCCCTGGTCTACTTGTCATATTGCGACAACCACAAGCCCTGGGCATCGTAAAAAAATAATAAATAATTGTCCCAGACTTGCACTGCTTTCGTAATCTCGCCCAATAATTCAGTTTTTTGTCCGAGAAAATGTCAAACAACGCAACGATTAATGGCATTATAATCTCGTCCATTCCATTGTTTTTGGAACCTCGGAATTGGGTTATCCGTCACGTGATCGTCGATTTGAATTTAAATTTTTCGTGTTTCCCTATAGGGTACGGAGCGATGTGTTATTACGCGACGTTTTACAAAAAAAAGTTGATTTTAATGACCGGCCACCGCCTTATTATTTCCCTCGGTTTGGACAATGAAGAAAGTTTTTATTACCACGTGTAGCAGGATTGGTTTCTTAATAATTAGTGGAGGATACCAAATTGGAAATTTACAAATGGCCGTTTTTTTATAATTAACACCTTAAGGAAATTCATTGCAATACTGGCGCGCATACTGAGGGGTAAATTGCAGTCTTTTATAATGCAGTATAAATATTCATTTTATTTTTTTTTTACTAGTTTCCCCTAGTATGCCATCAATACCAAAAAAAAAACAACTTCAAATATACTTAAACAAACAGTAAAACAAATATTTAAAAAAACTGCCTTCTTCATTTAGGTGGAGTTACCCAAGTGTTTTTTATGTATTTTGAGCTGCAGAACACGAATTTTTTGGGATGTATTTTCTTGTTCTTTGACCCATTTTAAGAAGAAAATGTCTTTTTTTTTGTTCAACGCATAGTTATCGAGATAGACGCCGTTAAAAACTCGAAAAATGTGAAAAAAATCGCATTTTTCGAGTTTTTAACGGCGTTTATCTCGATAACTATGTGTTTAACAAAAAAATTGCAAGACATTTTCCTTTTAAAATGGGTCAAAGAACAAAATACTTTATATTTTGCCAAAACTAAGTTCTCAGTATTTTGCAAGTTTTTTGTTCATAAAAAACTTATCGACATCCGGGTAAACTTCTACCCAAAAAATTCGTGTTCTGCAGCTCAAAATGCACAAAAAACACTTGGGTAACTCCATCTAAATGAAGGAGGCAATTGGGACCCCCCTGGCTACAGGACTAATAGGTTTATTATTTTTTCGTTATTCTACTAGTGAAATAAAGTTACTTTATTCCACTAGTGAATAAAGTATCACTTAAGACGGTTCATATGTGTGGATAAAAGTCCGATTATAAGATGACTGTGGATAAAAATACTAATCTAATTTTTTACAATTATGTTACTATTTTTTTTAAGCATTTATGAAAATTCGTGAATATCAGTGTCAAAGACCTCTGACATTTACTTAGTAGTCTAGTTTGCCTGAAATATACTACTACAGTAGATAGGGATGCATTTAGGGCAGTTAGAACAACATGATAGTTTCCGCTCTTTTTTCTTATTCAGCCACTTCAACAGCGATCGGCGCTAGACATATTAAATTAATCCAAAATAAATAAAATAGCAACAAACTGAAACCGCGAACAGTTTAAATTTAAGCAGAATCCCATCATGTTCCGAACGCTTCCGAAGGTCAACGTAGGTTATCCACCGCTGTTCAGTTGAAACGCCATATCTCCGCCTTTGAAAAACAGCTACTGCCAACTGGCTTCACACCTGGTATGATATAATGGTATGGTAAAAGGGTTATAAATGAATTGCCACATTAATTCGACGAAATGGCTGAATACTGATTCATTTTGCTACATTTTTATTTTAGTTTTCGACTTTATCAGTTTACGGGAGGGTAGGGGTGTGTGGTGTACAGTGTATTTTTGTGTTTCAATGTTCAAGTGATTGCATGATAGTATGATAAAACATGTATACGAATCGATAGAGTTGATATGGTTAGAAAACGATATCAGATGGATTATCCCGAGTGTTAAGTACAAAATAGGAAAATGTACGATTGGGTCAACATTCAACAAGAGACTATGGGGAGCTTTGAACGCCAATACGCTATGTTGTACGGGAAGAAACTCAAGGAATGAGAAATTTGGAGCCGCCGCGATAGAGCATAAAGAGTATAAGGCGAGGAAACACATGATTTACTTATTTTTGTCTATTTCATTTATTATTATTCTGCTCTTATTACTGCCTGAATTTTTTGTTAAATTATTTGTTAAGTACTGTTGCATAGTTTATCTTATTTAAAAGAATTATATTCTCGTATATGTGGAATGATAGGGGTCCGTGCGACCACCCACTAAACAAAAGAAACGTGCCAAAGAGCAGTACTTCACCGTAGGTGGTGTGGAAATTTGCTTTTTAATAAAATTTCCTTTAAATTATGAGATTTGACAACAATGCATAGCCCAGTTCTCAATTGTGCATGCGCTGTCATTAACGCGAGCCATTGTTTGATGTCACATTAGCTTGTCTAGCGGCGGGGTATGAAAATTTATAAAAAAACTTACACCCTGTGTATATTTCTTTAAAATTGTAAGGAAATTTCTAAAACTTAGATTATTACAGTTTCTTGATAGATAAAAAGGTAAACAAGATAAGGAGCTAGAGTGCATAAAGTTGCCAACTACCGATGATCCGTTAGCATAACGCGAAATCTTCAAATAATTATCGGCTTGTATAATTTATTGCGCGCACTAACGACTAACCCAAACGTTTACCTATATGGTATCGAATGAGTTTCTAAAGATGCCGTTTGGTTAGTAATTAAACAATTAAGAAATACTTTAATCCCCCGCCGGGTAATTAGATATGACTGCGCACTTCTTATAAATAACGATCGTTAGAAAGGAACGTTTAATAAAGTGATAAAAATTGTAGCTGTTGAAAATTCTCGTGGGTGTGGATAGACCTTTACAACAATAACGGTGTTTAATGGGTATGACTAAGGAAGGTTCGACTACTTATTAAGTGCTACAACAAATAGAAAATTGTTACGAAACGTGTGTCATAATATTGTAATGATTTAAAGAATGTAATTATTATGCTGGCATTAATTTTAAAATAACTGAATAGAGTGAGTGTTTGTTTAGTGGAAATATCTGGAATATTCAGAAAGTGGGACACACAGTAGATAAGGATCATTATAGGTTGTAAAATTGCAAAAAGAAATAACAGTTTCAACATGAAAATGAAGAATTTTCGTTGTAATTCTTTCTCAAAACACTTAATTTATT